CGCGTTTAATTCGGCCGAAAAATTTTTCCGAGCCAAAAGAAAAAGTACGTGTCTCATTATTTGGACCAACAAACAATGTATTTGAGTTTGGTCGAAATTAAAAATCATGCTCGTACCTGACCGGTTGTCTGGAAATGGAAAGCATCATAATAAATTCTATAATTCCGATGGAAAGACAGTACCGTATGAGGAGTGATACACCCTAATATTCATATATGTTGTAAAAATATTTTCATACATACAGAGTATTTTTAAGTATTTATTAAGTCACTTCATACCTCATTTGCATCTGTATATCGTTCTATCGTCGAAAACTAAAGACACAACCGTTTACCTTTCGCTGATGGAGTTGAACGAATAATCGGCGTAACGTTTAAGCACAAGAGCTGTGAAGTGACTAATGTCACTTTCAAAATAACCGACTCACATGTAGTTAGTTTTGTATCTGCACATCAAACGCCCTACCCGAAGGCTCTTGTACCGGGCATATTATTAAACTTATAATGGAAATATTTTTTTTTGTGGTCCTCGGCGATCAATTTTAAATCCCTTCCGAAAAATTCAATATAGAACAATTTATTTTTACCCTATTAAAAAATTATAAATATACATATATTAAACAAAAACAACAAAAAGTCACACGCTACAATTCATTGGAAAGGCTCAGCATAGAGTTTGCTATACTTTTATTACTGCATATTTGATTCCAATAGCTACATATGTGTGAGTCTATGTATGCATTTATGTGATGTTTGTAATTATTTGTCTTGTATAATTGCTGCAAAAATATGTAAAAAATGTTCGCCTATTTTGCATAACTATTCATGCCCTCTGGGGCAGGTCGATGCCACGCCAGTGAGGAAAAAAGAAATACTGCATGTGTAATTGTTGCTCTGCTAAGTATTATCTCTTCTTCTTTGAATTATCTCGTGGATGTGAAATCATTTGCCTCTCCACAAACAAAATCTTCATATACAGGGTGTCTAATGGCGACAGATCTTAAATACTGCGACTTAAACAATCGTTCAATTTGCAGTCATTTTTATTGTTTTTTTTTTTTATTTTTATTTTTTTTTTAATATTGTTCTTGCTATAACTTTATAACAAACGTCGTGAAATTCAACAAGTTTTAAGCTTTTTAACATGAGTTTATTAAGAAATTTTGGTATAATAGTGGTTTCTTCCACAAAGCAAGTGCTATTAATAAAATCTTAACTTGAACAACTTTGTCTATGTCCAAAATAAAGGTATCCACGTAAACTTCAAAATTTTAAACGGATACCTAGGGGTCGCTGCAAGAGTTTGAAAATTTGTTTAAAATCGCAAAAATTCGGAAAAATTTTGGCTTGCAATGTGATAAATTTGACATATTATTGAAACTTATTCATATAAATTCATAAACTCGCTGGATTATTGCTGGCAAAGTCTATTTTGTCGAATTTCTGCTATAAAAAAGATAAATTTAGCGACCGCAGTTTTTTTTCGAAATTTTGAAATTTTCGTGAATTGTTTTCGCCCATAATGTCGATATTTTAACAAAAAACTCTATTAATAACAGAAAATAATTTTTAGTAACAATTAAAGATTAAGTACTTTTTAGTTAATTAAGAATAATATATAATGCCTCGTATTATTTTAAGGCCTCTTTTGACTTATTTTACGAATACGAAGTAGTCATAGTGACTTCCGAGATACGAGGTTTTGCCAAAGTACTGTCGATATGTATGCATGTACGGGAGGGAGGTATTCAATAAGTAAATCCAAGTTATAACATCCACATTAGTAAACTGATATTTTTGTATCATCAATCTTAAAAAGGCTTTCCCGCAAATGCTTATCATCTGTTCATTTGTTCAGTTTTGGCAGATTTCGAAAGTAAATTGTGCTTCGTATTTAACATGTAAGCTTTGTGTACTATAAAGTAATTTCTTTGAACAAAAACAATAAGTGAAAGCGAAGTCAAGTCACAATATACCGATGAGACCAGCCTCTTTTCTGTGTGAATTGTCCCCTAAGAAGACCATAGCGGGTCTGCCGGCTAAAATTGTCACTGCGATAATTTTGTTAAATTCATAACCCATACCTATTACCTAGAAAATGGCAAACCAAACAAGGGAAAATATTTTGTCAATTTATGGAATGGTTCAAGACTCGTCATATCCTCGAAATTGAAGCATCAGTGATTCCCAATTTTTAAAAAGTGCTCAAACAAAAGATCTCAACAAATAACAAAAACAAATATTATCTACATAATTCATACTGTCGATCTTAATGTGCTCCATGAAGTTAATTGTGAATCTATGAATTCGTTTCTCTTCACTTATTTATCATACTTAGTGAAAACTGTTAATGTAGCGGAGCACATATTGGCTTAGCCATACAGAGTCAAAGGTTAAGTTGTTTTAACCCACCCTGCAACGAAAAAAATATGGCTTGCATACATACCTCACGCATTCCTACTTATGTATATTATACATATATGTACAAGATATATTTGTAGGGCTTTCACGCTGTGGTATTGTTTTCGAAATGAGTTCAACACTTTTTATTTGCGGTTTAGCTTAGTTTAATTGATGTTTACGGTTTTGCTTTCGACGCCGTCTCTACTAAAATGTGGTATCAGCAAGCCAAACGATAACAACAACAAATGAAATTACACACACGTCATTTACGCTGTTTTGTCCGTTGGTGTTAGCGTTAGCCCTACTGATGTTTTATTACAAATTAACTCATTCACTCTAATTTATACAATTTTACCAGATTCAATATCTGTTTCTTAATTAAGTTCTTAATTAATTCTTTTTTTTTGTACCTTAATGGCATACACAAATTGATGGTAGCTTATAATAGGCATATAAAATATAATAAGACGACTTCAACTGTTTTATTTTTTCAGTTTCCGCTATTGTTGAATACGATTATGTGGCCAAAGAACCCGATGAGCTGGACTTAGTCAAAGGTGCTCTTGTACATAACATTAAACAGATGCCGGGTGGCTGGTGGGAAGGCACGCTACAATCTACAGGGGAAACCGGCATGTTTCCTGATAATTTTGTGCGAGTTATTGATAACAGCGACGAAAATATAGTCACAATGAGGTTTGTATTGTTCTGTCCGTTTTGAGTGCTGTACTTACATATGTATGTATGTGATAAGAAAACAAAAAAAAAATTGAAAAGTTCTTTTCGCTGTTACTGTTTAAAATTTTGATACGTAGCACATAGCCATTTTAACTTTTAGTGTTGGAAATTTATAATTTTCAAAAAAAAAAAAGATTTTATAAATGCACCACACTCTTTTCTTATCACATGAAAACATGCTCGGTATACAACGGTTTTCTGATTTTCTCTAATCCGCAACATTCACTTTCAGGGACAAAGCAGCAACAGCCAATCGGCGCTGTAAAGTCATCTTCAGCTACACACAAGTGAATGACGACGAACTGTCGCTGGCCGTGGGTGATGTCATTGAATTCCTTGGGGAGGTTTGTATATACGCACATACATATACAGCACAAAAACTAGAACATAATAGTCAGCAAGTCAGCCATAATGTAGCCACAAAAACTATTGCAAAATATTTACGTCACTTGGACATGATTTTAACTGCCCAGCGAACCATTTTGTTTGATATCAATTTGAGACTTATTTGATATTAAATCGATCGATGTAGAGAACAAAGGTGGCGCCCATCTCATACCGTTATTCCGTTCTTAGTGAATTTGACACACTTATACAACTTGTTTACGTTTTTCTCGCAAAATTTCTTCTTGTTCTTGTTCTTGTATGCTTGCTGGTGTTTTGACATTTATTTTTAAAAATCCTCTTCGATGGGCGCAATCTTGTATTCTATCATCCTTGGTACTAAATAGTTTGCTAAACTCTCCAACTTTAATTCTCAGCAGCATTGCAACAAGCGGATTATGGCGTTCACAACTAAAGAGGCGCTTTTTAAAGTAAGATTTTTAGTTATGAAGTTGAAAAATTGTCAATTCTACACTTGACTTCAAAGAAATTTCTCCTTATTTAAATTTTCCCATTTTCCCTCAAAAATTAAAGGTTATGTTTCACCGCTACTCACAGAAAGTTGTTAATAATGTCTAAAATATTTCTTAACTTAAGGACAAAAGGTTTGAGCAAATGGTAAGGNAAACCTTTTTGTTTGATATCAATTTGAGACTTATTTGATATTAAATCGATCGATGTAGAGAACAAAGATGGCGCCCATCTCGTACCGCTATTCCGCTCTCAGTTTACGTTTCCTGTTTACGTTTTTCTTACAAAATTTCTTCTTTTTCATGTTCTTGTATGCTTGCTGGTGTTTTGACATTTATTCTCAAAAATCCTCTTCGATGGGCGCCATCTTGTATTCTATCATCCTTGATATTAAATAGCTTGCTAAACTCTCCAACTTTAATTCTCAGCAGCATTGCAACAAGCGGATTATGGCGTTCACAACTAAAGAGGCGCTTTTTAAAGTAAGATTTTTAGTTATGAAGTTGAAAAATTGTCAATTCTACACTTGACTTCAAAGAAATTTCTCCTTATTTAAATTTTCCCATTTTCCCTCAAAAATTAAAGGTTATGTTTCACCGCTACTCACAGAAAGTTGTTAATAATGTCTAAAATATTTCTTAACTTAAGGACAAAAGGTTTGAGCAAATGGTAAGGAATGTTGCAACTCAACTTGAGAATTAAGAGTTTATCAAACGTTGGAGAATAATTTTTCTTGTGTTTGTTGGGTGCATGCTCTAAATATTTGTGTTAGGGTGGAGAGCCTTAGTAAAACCCCTGCAGGGAAAGCTACTAGTTGTGAACTAGTATGCTACCAGTATATTTATTTCTTTATTTTATATTCATGCCTTTTGTCGTAATTTGTAAATTGTATTTTGTATGGTATTTGCGTATTTAGGTTTTTTCCAAATGAAATGAAATTTTCAATTTTTGTTTTTATGTATTTAAATGGAAATAATTGACTTACTTTAATTACCTCCAAGATAATTCGAACCTGAGATCTCAGAACCAAAATCGGTAGTCTNTAAATGGTTAATCTCTAATGGTAAGGAATGTTGCAACTCAACTTGAGAATTAAGAGTTTAATAAACGTTGGAGAATATTTTTTCTTGTGTTTGTTGGGTGCATGCTCTAAATATTTGTGTTAGGGTGGAGAGCCTTAGTAAAACCCCTGCAGGGATAGCTACTAGTTGTGAACTACTATGCTACCAGTATTTTTATTTCTTTATTTTATATTCATGCCTTTTGTCGTAATTTGTAAATTGTGTTTTGTATGGTATTTGCGTATTTAGGTTTTTTCCAAATGAAATGAAATTTTCAATTTTTGTTTTTATGTATTTAAATGGAAATAATTGACTTACTTTAATTACCTCCAAGATAATTCGAACCTGAGATCTCAGAACCAAAATCGGTAGTCTTCACTCAAGGCCACAGCCGACATTTTTGAGCAAAGCAAATTCAAAAAAGACATGTCGCTGATCGCTTAAGTTGTTCGAAATCGTCGAAATGATAGGCCGTCGTTTTAGCGCATACTAGTTTATGAACTGGTATGTTTACTAGCTGGTTTGGCATTGCACTGCGGAGAACTGGTATAATTATAGTCCATGACGCACTGGCATGACTTCCCCATTGAAAATCAGGTTTCGAACTAGAATTTCTACCAAGTAGTTTAAATTTTTTCTACGAGAAACTGGTATAATTATAGTTCAGAACGAACTGGTACGACTTTCATCCTTAAATAATAGTTCATGAACGGGAATTTGTGCACAGTAGTTCAGCTATTCACTGCAGGGACTTTACTACATTTCTGGCTGTGGCTGGCTCATTTCACACACACACACATACTTATAATTTTCCACGCTTTCTTATTCTTATGCTTTTCTTTATCACTATACGCCATTTAGGTCGAGGAAGGCTGGTGGCGTGGACGTTTAAAAAACAAAATCGGCGTATTTCCATCGAATTTCGTTACTGTCATCGAGCCATCACCTATTTTGGCCAGTAAACGACCAGCAGCCGGTCCTGCTGCCACATCAACCGTAAAAGCAGCTGCGACAGTCGCAGCGTCAAGCGCAGCTGCATCAGCGCTTGAGAAGTCGAGCGTTGGCGCCAGTAGCTCTACATCATCGACTAGCACAAACACCGTAACCGCCAGTTCAACATCAACGAAGAAAATGAATCGTATTAGTTTTCACAGTTCCAAAGAGGATCTGTTGAATAGCAGTAACATCAGCAGCAGCAGTGGCAGCAATTTCGTTGCGGCAACAAGCACAAACAACACGTCTGTGGATGATGTTGCACCATCGTTGCCACCGAAACCGCAACGGGAATACTGTCGCGTCGAATATCCGTATACACCACAAAACGACGATGAGCTGGAATTGAAAGTGGGGGAAATCATCACGATCATCAGCATGGAATTGCCGGATAAGGGCTGGTGGAAGGGCGAACTACACGGCAAAGTTGGTGTATTTCCAGACAACTTTGTCAAACTGTTAGACGGTATGTAGTCAAGAAATTTCTATAGCGTTTGCGTGATGAAAGTGTGCTATTTGGTATTCTTTTTACATATACATAAATAAGTGTGTGTTTTTGTGATGCATTTCATTGTATAGTGAAAATCTAATTATGAGGTACTTTTCAGAGGAATGTGCAAGAACGTTTATTTAGGTATAAATATAAAAATTTGCTCAGCGAAGGAAATGTTTAGATATCTGTATATATGATGAGGTTTGATAAACTGACAGTTGTCTCTCTCGCACCGCTCCTAACCTTGTATTATCGAATCATGATCTGTACATATGTATGTATGTACATAAATATAGCATCGATGGAAGCTAGGAAAACATTAAGCTCAGTCCTAAACAAAAAATTGACTAATTTGCATCTAATGTAAACGAAGAATATCCAAAAAGAGAATTGAGTCCAATAAATGTATATTAATTAAATTTAAATAACAGAGTTTGGCGCGGTTTATATTTATGGTAAGAGAGAGGTTTTCATTGGAAAATTGTATCAAGCAATACATCAATTCTTTTCGTAGTAATATTCCTACCTTTGCAGCTTTACTAGAAAGGGAAAGAGCTATGAATATTTAGGACAAACGATTTCATTCACTTAATTTATTCACAGTCTACTGAGCGCAGTAGTAGATATTTTTTTAATTGCTAAAGAGACTGTCAGACCTGCATATCTCTATGTCAATAGAATACTTATAGATTCGTTAAGTCAAGTCCAGTTGTTGACTTAACAAATCAAGTTCTTCAACTGCTGGTACCGCGATACAGATTTTTGCTCGAACCCCATCATATTTTGCAGTGGATACAAATATTTTTTATGATCATAACAAATTACACGTTCTAGTTTTCCTCTACATGTTTAAAATATGCGATATTTTCCGGCCGGAAATGGAATTGAATTGCATGGAACAGTTCTGTAAAGCTCTCCTGTTTTTCTAGATCGAGTGTGATAGGAAACCCCATTGAGACGCTACATAGAAAGTAAAGCGCGTTTATTGCAGCAACTTTACTCCGGGTCTAGAAAGCACTTTAAGTTGCATTTCTTGCATGTTTGAATGTGGGCTACACCCCTTTTTAGTATAACAATATTCTTCAAAACTAAATATGCAGTCATTAAATCGTATATTTAAAATGTTAAGGTTTACTTGGTGTCAATACTAATAAGTAGAAGCTATTACAATACAAGAATGCAAAGATTTTTTAAACCGAAAAGTTTATTATTTTGTCTGTACAGATATTTTTTCATTATGAGCCACTTGAAATACCAGTATAGAAGCTACTATAAACAATGCAAAGACTCACAACAAAAACGATATAACAAACATTTTTATTTGCATTTGTAAACAATTTCGTATGTAAATGCTGACAATTCAAAATGTAAATGCACATTCTTCAATTATTAGCCAATCGACAAACACAACATACCTTTATTTTACTTACAAACGCACAGGTATGCACGTCCATATATGACAATATACTCGTATATCTGTGTACCTATGTATGTAAGCCTCACACCTTCGTAAAATATCATCACATCATTCTTACAAACACATAAATTCACATGCAGCCATACATTTTTACATTTTTACAAAACGCAAGATATGGCATTCATCTTATCCACTCGACGCACAGTAGTTTAAAGCAAGGAAAAGGTTCCAAAAAATAAGTTTCACAGAACAAAATCATCAATAAAACTCTTGTAATAGAGTCGAATATGGAGGCGTGAGTAGTTTACTTTGAATTTCATGCTTAAGTCTAGGTATTACGGTCAATTAATTTAAGGAACTTCACCGATATGGGGTGCTTTTGTATTTTTGGATTTGTAAAGTAGATTGGCTGCAATGCATTTTTATTTCGGGACTTTTCGAAATGTTTTCTAACCACTAGAATTTTTTTGAGAAAACTATATGCAAAAGTAGGCAGAATGATCAAAGACCTAACAACAAATCAAGGTATTTGAAGGTCCAATAAACGAGATTAAACAAGATTAGATCGCTGTTCGTTAGATCGTCACTTGGCCACAGGGAACCATCAGCACTACGCAGGACGCAGTGGATGAAGCAATTGACATGCCTATCAGAGCTGGGTAAATCAGCATTGAGCGGAGTTATCGCTCTTCTAAATAAATATTCGTCACTTAGTTTACACTCAGAGTAAAAAACTGAAGATTTAGAAGGAGAACAGCGCACATCAACCTTATTCCTCTTAACAGCTCTACAGTATAAACCAGCTCTACAGCGCTCAACAGCTTTATAGCACTAATCAACTCTAGCGCTAACATCTTACTGAGCTGACTCATTAAAATGAGGGTATACACGCGAAAATTCACTGAGTTACCCGGCCCTAATTGTAACACAGCGCTTCGCAAAGCTAATGGATGCCTTCTAATGTCTTTAGAATATCATCTAATAGTGAGGCTTAAATGCTCTCAGTAAGGGAAGCAGTTCCTAGTTGGCTGCTACCGTCGCGAGCACCTGAACAAGCACTTGCTAGCAGTTTCTACTTAGCGCATCAGAAGGCATCTCCAGAAAATGAAAGACGAGATCCAACGCTACGTTCAATAACCGCTGTACATTACGCTCTATAGACAGGCAATCAACGACATTCACAGAAATACCAACATCACCACCAACTGTTGTTCCGTAAATGCCGTCATTTAAATTTAACCACAACTAATTGCAAAAGAAGAGCTTCAGCTGCCTCTAGAGATCGGGTTATTCTGGCATACCCGGATACTGTAGCTAGCAAAACTCCTACTTTTACGGACTCGTTACCGCCTACCGTTAGTTGAGCTTTACCACAACGATTTAAAGACTAGGTAATCTAGGCAGGGTTGGCATAAAATTGGAATACAATTTTGAAGATATTGCGGGAGAGGTGGCTTAGTAAACCAAGTTGTAAAAATATAGGCCTCCGCAGGGATGAAACTACTGTGCGACATCTGAGTTGGTTTTGTTTTTATTAAAGACATAGGCCAGGTGAAGAGAAGAAATAGCGTGATGCATTTTTTATACACATAAATGCAAATGATGTTTGCTTAAGCGCACTCATAAAATTAAATTTTAAGGATGCACTTATTGAGATTTTGTAGTGTGAAGTTTATTTCAATATTTTTATTTTTTTTTGTATTCGTATTCGTCAAATCGTTGACTTGAAAATACATAATTCATGAGTCCACCGTAGGCACATCGTCAAGCAAATACATACAGTGACTCAAACAAGTGACTACGTGTTGATTTTTTGTAAGTACTCGTAATGTTTGTCAGGATATTTTTTTTTGTTATTTTTCTATAAAAATATCGTCCAAGCTTTAACCAAAACCATATAAATCACAGTTACTTTATAGAAAATTTAGCAAAATTCAAGAAATTTTTGTCAAAGTTTCAACTTTTTAATCTGAATCTTTAGAACATTTTTGGGTAGGCAGTTTTACAGCCCATAAAATTTTACTCTAATGGAGTGCAAATTTCAAAAAGCTAAAAATTTTGTTGTTTGTAGTAGTTGTTTTTTGAGCATTTTTTTGGTGACGGATTTTTGCACTTTTTTGAACATAATCAAGAATTTCTTATTAAATAAAGTGCGTTAGCAACATTTCAAAAAACCAACGTCCGTTTTTTTAAATTGGTTATATAAAAAAACCTCAAAAGCAGTCTCAAAAATCAACGCGATTTTTTGACCATTTGAAACTTGCACTTCATTGGACTAAAATTGTATGGGCTATAAAATATAAAACTGCATACCCAAAAATGCTCTAAAGATTTATATTGAAAATGTTGAAGTTTTGATGAAAATTTGTTGAATTTTCCTAAATTTTGTATAAAATTTGAAACTGTGATTTATATGGTTTTGGTTAAAGATTGGGCGGTATTTTTTATATAAAAATAAAATAAAAAATTTAGCCCGAAAAATATTACAAATGTTTAACAAAAAATCAACACGTGGTCATTTGTTTGAGTCACTGTATATTCTTACATACTAACTTACGTACATATATTGGTAAATATTTGTGAAAGTACTCCATCATATAAAATTTTACCTTTACCTATGCACATCTACATATGTATAGTACTTATACTCCTATACAAATTTGTTTTTTGTTCTACTTGCATTGAAGTACTAATAAACACTACACATTTTCCTTTTCTTATACTTACATTTTATAAACTTTTACTCGCTGAATATACTCGTATGTACATATGCACACACACAACAACAACAACAACAACTACTAAAACAACTAAAAAAAAAAATACAATATATCTTTGGTTGGCGATTTATTCTTCGTTCTTCGTCACATTTGGNTCGCTCGCTGTAGTAGCGAATAGCGTGCAAGAGAAGTATCATCAGTTGCTCATCGTAGACTGTTGGCTGGTTTGGATTTTTATTTCGATATATTTTTTACGATATACCCATAAGATCCCCATATATTTTGAGCAATACAAATTTTTAGTTTGTTTACTAAGCAAATGTTTATTTTTTTTTGGCTTTTGCAAATTAATTAAGTTTTCTTCAAGGAGGATTGTTTAAAAAAAATACATATACATATATGGTATACTAGCCGGCCACGGATGCGCGAGGCTTCGCTACGCGCTGAATGTATGCATATGAATGTACATTTACGTATTTGGAGAAAGAAACCATATGTCATCATGTACTTCGTTTATTATATACATACATAAAAGATCTCGTCTAAATCCGTTCAGTGGCATGATTAAAATATCTCGCCTTTCCTTTATACTATGTATAGAAGATATTAACTTTAAATAGGTGGCAACCCTACTTACAAAATAATAAAGGTCTTGTACAAGCGAGGGCCATGTACCTTCATTTAATATCTCATTTTGTAATCCTATGAACGGCGAAATCTTTTAACTTTTTAATAGGTGGCAACCCTACTCAGAAAAATAAAACATTATTGTGCATGTAGAGGCTAAATCTTTTCGTTTAACAGTGATGGCACAGGAGTGATGCATACGCTTGTTA